GTCGATGGTACTATTTCTAAACCAGCCTTACATATAGCTGCAAATCCAGTCTTTCATGAGATGACTAAACACATATAAATAGATTGCCACTTGGTTAGAGAAAAGATTCAAGCAGGACAAGTTAAAACTCTGCATGTGTCAACTAAGAACCAATTGGCAGACATTTTCACCAAAGCTTTACATCCTACACAATTCAAGGATTTGTTGGACAAGATGGGATTATGTAATATCTACACTCCATCTTGAGGGGGAGTATTGGAGAATTTGTTGTAACTGCTTAGCTGTCATTAATTAGCTGGCTCTTAGCTGTTAGTCGTAGATTGGTCCATGTAATAAGTGTATATAAACCTGGTTGTATGGTACAAAACCTTTTAGATCAGATCAATACACGTTTTCTGTATTTTCTCTTCCTCTTTCTTCTTTCCTTTTTATTTCCCTTATGATACGGGTGGATGATTTGGTCGAGAGTCCAGTTGCCCTATTCCATGTCTTTGCCACCAAATTCTCCACCACCAAATGCCTCTTTTGCTGCAAAGATGTCAATGCCATTATTAGTGGACATCATTAAAGTCGATATCCCACCAGATGGGTCGCCACTAGTAGCCATTCTCGATCCAAGGAGGTCTAGAATAGTATGTTTAGGGGAAAAAATCAGATAGAGTCCCCAACATTAATTACTCCAAACTAGACTATTCATCGCAGGTCGATCCTAATCCGTAACCACTAGCATTGGAGTTGGTGCACCCTCCGGCTAATTGTTGCATGCTCCATTCCCGTAGACCACTAGAAGGTGAGGAAGAAGATACAATTCTGAGCCCCCTCAACAAAGATGCATTCAACGCAACTGCGCCCATCTGTGCAGCCTTTTGTAGCAACACAATTGTTGACATAGCAACAGATTGAAGTGCTGGAGCATACAGCATGTTCCAAAAAATTTTGCCCCACTGTTCCAAAAATTGACGACCCTTGATTCGTCGTAAGGTAGAGGGAGACGATTCTGAAGATGAAGATGGTGATAGGAGTTTTATTTTCTGATGTTAATAATTCTCCATTTTTATTTGAATGTATAGGTATCCGAATAAGTTTAGCTTCGTTATTGGATAGTTAAAACCAACTCGTGAACGTTGGGTCTGCATTCTAATTTCTGTGGGAATTTGTTGAAGTTCTCGGCTATTTATTCTGAAATGAAATAAACGCAAAGGATCTTTTCTGAAATACTTTTGATTCACACAAGAAATTGGAGTTTCTTGCTCCCTCAAATGAGCTAGACAATCTTTGTTTTTCTTTACTCCAAAATAGGTAGAGGAAAAGCTAACCCCCTAGCAAGGCTGTAACGCAGTGGTATCAAATCCTGGAAATGGATCACAGGTTGGAACAATTGGAGGTGGCCGTAGGAACGATGATAGTTCAGGAGGATATCTTGCGTAAATTGTCCGAAGCAGTCAGTAAACTTACTGACAAATTTCCATATAGACTAGCGAGCTTGCTGGGAACTCTCCTGTTAGAATGCAAACCCAAGCAGGGTGGAAGACTCAACAGTAGCCCATAGTACACCAGTTGTTCGTGCAAATGCTTCTGAGGGTTCAATGTCAGGATCTTATATTCCAAAAACGGTTAAGATTGATTTTCCTCGCTATGAAGGAAAAGGAGACCCAACCATTTGGCTGAGCAAGGCAGACCAATTCTTTCAACTACATGAAATCCCTATTCAAGATCGAGTTACATTAGCTTCATCTCATTTGGATGGCTATTGATAATATCACATTTGTTACATTTTTCACCCATTACTATTTGCGTTTATATGATTATTTGCCGCCTATATGCACTAAATACAT